CTTCTTCCATTGTTCGGTGTTTATTTTCGTTTTTTAAAAGCCCTTAAAGGTGCTTTTTTCATTGGGTGTTTTTAAAACGTGCTTAATTTTCCTTTTTCGAAAATGAGAATTTTTTCTTTACAATGTCAATTTTCATCACGTTTTATGCAAAAATGTGCTTTTCATATCGTACATGGGTGCAAGTCTTCCGTCCCCAGGACGGATTTCCGTCTTTCGAAAATGTCCGCGGACGGAAGTAAGACGGAAACAAGACTGACTCGAAGACGGAAATCGGAAGAAGAAAAATATCTGTCCTTAAAAATATTTTTTAGGTCTACGTTATTGGTCTACTTTCTTATGTCCTGTTGTTATTTTATCAAAACACAGATGAATAAATATTTTTTGTACATTACTTAAACTTGATTTATTATGGTAAAGCTTTCTTAGATAGTTTGCATATGTCAAGGGGGTATTGTGTACGTTAGGTATTTCAGTCCAAAAATTTTCAGTCTTGGCCTTTTTTCCAACTTGCACCCATGGTGCCACAACATGCAGGCTTCTCCCCCACATATCCTGGACTGTCTTGGTCTGGACAAAGGGGACATTCTGAATAACCCACATTTGGTGGTCGACTTCCTCCGGGTCATGAGTTTCATGGACATTGTTTAGCCCTGCTAACTTTGGGGATAAGGAAGAAGAAGAGAAGATGTCATTTCTCACAGAACATAATTAATGCTGAAGTGGCCAACTTGGCCAGAGTAGAATCTGCAAGATTTTCTAGTGTTCAGTTTTTTAAAAAAAATTTATTTCCATCACTAATTAAATCTGAGGATACAACAATTTATGAACTTCAAATCAATTTTTTTCTCTTGAAGTGGAAAACATTTCTGGAATTGTCAATACTGACAAGCATATTGGTGAACAAGGGGTTGATGTTATGCATTTCAAAAGAGCAAATTTTACTTTAAATATAAACAACTCTCCAAGATTATGCTATCAATTTTAGTAATTCCACATAGTAACACTCAATATATGCANAAAAAAAAAAAAAAAAAAAAAAAAAAAAAAAAAGAAACACACAATTTTGTTCACCTATGGTAAATAAAAGTTTTGAAAAGTTTGATGGTATTTAAAATGCATAATTCTAAGCAGTGTTTTATAAAAGAAAATTTTCTCAAGATGCATTACAAAAAGCAAATGAGGCAACTATTGCTTTGTTTTTAAAATCTTCAATTTATTAAAGACACTAAAAACGCTTTGAATTGCGTATTTTATGATTATAATATTAATAGCTTTTAGTAATTAAAAATTTTTCTGTTGTTTTTATTGGTCAATATAATCTAACATTTCCTCACCTCTTTTCTCTTCTATAATAGTTACTCCTTGGTTTGAAATACACTTTATAAAATTACAATTTTGTGTTCATTTTAAAGTTCACTGTTGGAGTAAATACTTAAGCTGAAAATCGGATGTTCATTATTTTACACAGTGAGATTTTTTTTCATACTTGAATTACTTTTTATATATCAATGCTAGAAAATGTATTGAAAACAATGTATTAGTAATTAAATTTCAAAATAATTTATGTGTAATTTGATTGATTTTTTTCGTTTTTTTTTGTAATTTTGGAATCATATCTTTTATGTGTAATTTTTTCCTATTGATAAATTTTGGATTTTTTTCCTCTTTGCTCTCTAACCACTCTCATCCCTTAAACCTGTAAGTTTGTGAAAATGGTGGAAGTTGATTAGTTATCAACTAAAGAGAGAGTAGTAAGCTCGTGAAAGTTCAATGCCATGATAAATTGCCTTAAATGTTTAAATTTTTTTATATATACATATGAATTTATATGCTTGAGTTAATATAAATTTTCTTTACTCTTTGTGTAGCTGAAAAAAGTGACTGAAGAAATTAATAATCTTGCTAAGCAGAGTAGTAGTCATAGAGATAAGAAAAAGAAGAAACGTAAAAAGAAAAAGATAAAAGAAGACCCATCTGATTGTGTTAAAGTTAAAGAAGTAATTGATGTGCAAACTGTTGTTCAACCAGTCATTCCTCCTCAAGCATCACCTTCATATAGTTCTTTACCTGTAGTTAAATCATCACCTTCAAATCAATCTAGAGCTGTTAAGCCTAGGAAAGCAAGGAACACTCCCGCTAAGACTGTACCTCAGCCTAAACCGACAAATCAGACTAAAAGACAAAGGACTAATAGTTCTAAACCTAGAAAGCGTAATCAGCCACCAGTTGCTGCTCAAAGTCCTCCTCCAGCTACTCAATCTAAAGGTCTTGAAGTGTATGATATGGACAGTGAGGAAGAAAATAATGCCAAACCCATGTCATATGACGAAAAGCGACAACTAAGTCTTGATATTAATAAGCTGCCAGGTAAAGTTTGTCTTCGTGTTTTCCTTGTATACTGAAACATTCATTTTTTGGATCTTGACATTGAAAACTGTTGTCTACTTTAGTTGTTAGCATTTTTCTATAACAAACTTTTTTACATTAGAAAATTAGCTCTGTAAATACTAATTAGATCAAATGAAAAAAGAAAGAAAGTATAAGCATTAGTTTTTTTTTTTCTTTTAGTAATTTTAGTGATTATTTTTTTAATAGTATAAAATGGTAAGATGAAATCTTTTAGTTAATCTAGTTAAGAGCAAAGAAATTTTGTTCCATTTCTTTGTTCAATTTGGTTACTTTTTGTTAGAATGATTAAACCACGAATTAATCCTTTGAAAGTTCTATGATAGATTTGTATTGTTAGGATTTGTAAAGGATAAATTCTGTGAAGTAGTAATTCTCAGGGTCAAAAGTCTTAGGATATATTTTTGCGCATGATGCATACAATTATAAATTATCTAAAAATGCCAGTATTTTGTCAATAATGGTTCAAAAATGCCTGACAGATATGATAAGGTACATTGACTTACATGGAAAATGGCTGAATTAAATCTGAGTGAATGCTATTTAATGTTCAATATTGAATATAACACTTAAGAGAAATATTAATGAATTTTGTTACATTACGAGTTTCTTATTTATTATGATTCATTGTAAGAAAAATTTGTTTTGTTGTGATATAATGGAATGTGATTTACTGAAATCTGTTAGCAACATGAGTGAAATTGAATTTTGTTTAATTTATTTAAAGTGTCATTTTCCCCCTTTTTTTTGATCAATTACTTAATTACGAGTATTTGGGGAAATTGAACTAGTGATAAATTACTCTTATTTAAATTATCTCTTTTTTTTTAAAGAATGAAAAATTGTAAATAATTTATTATTTTAAAGAATTAATTATTTTAAATACCAAATCTGCAACCATACTATCATATCGTCACAATGTGTATTTCATTATCATTGTGGCGCTTGCATGGACCGGATACCTCCAATTTTTCCTACTTTTCCTATTATTTCGGTAGTCCTCTTTTTCTCTTATTTCTAAAATCATCTGTCATTTCTGTAATTCCCACTTTGAACATAGTACTTTTTTGAGATTCTTTTTCCACTATAGTACCCCACTTTGAGCCAAGGAACAGAATAATATCTCAAGGTCCCCGTGGCAGAATCGGACGGACACGGCAACATTGTCGCAGAACGTTACAGAGTTCTTGCAGAAAGATTTTTCTTTTGAGAAGTAGCAACAAAAAAATTAATTTTCTTTTCTACTGAAATTTACACGTAATATTTGAATTGTGCATTTAGATAATTACTTTTTGAAGCACTGAATTCACACCGATAGTATCGAAATCGATGCAATGCTTCGCATGCACTTCAAATATCCCGATATACTTCAAACAGTATGGAAAATTTGAATCATGCATTTGAATATTTACTTTTTAAGGCAATATTTCTATTGAATTCTATGGCAGCTGTTGCTAATTAGTTAGTTTGAAATGTGGTGGAACGAGAATTCTTTTTGCCAGCTTCTGTATCTGCTTGCCTATTCATGTTCAACATGAAAGGAAGAGGAATAAAATCAGAAAACTTAGAAAGGAAAAAGATTGTGATGCACATGCTTTTTCTTCTGATTTCGATTAATGTTTCAGCAAATAGTTGAAACTCAAGGTAAACTCTAGAGAGAATTAATAATCCTGTGCCAGAATCAGGGTGACATTGACGCATAACATTACAGAGTTTTTGCAAAAAGACTTATCCTTTTGTAAGTAAACAATTTTTCTGCAGAAATTTTCCAAATTTTTTTCCAAAGATTTTTTTTCTCTCCTCAGGATTATATTCAAAAGATGCGTTATTCGCGATTTAAAAGAAATGCTTGTGATTTTGAAGCCAAATTCGCTGAAAATGTTGAAACCCTAGTTAAATTCTAGATAGAATCAGACGTGCCAACTCTCCCGCATTTTGCGGGAGTCTCCCGAATTTTGAGTTATTCTCCCGCCCTCCGGAATTGATTTGAAAAACTCCCGAATTTTACTGCGATCGACGGCCAAACTCAAAATTACCTAATTTTTCCGCGAGTGCGAAGGTAAGTTTTTCTTTCAGCTTGAATTCCATCCCCTCTTATCAAACTACCATCTGCCTGAAGCGTAGCTGAACATGCTTTATTTTCCCCCCTCTTCAACGTTACCTCTAAAAACACTCCTATTTCACCCGCCCCCTTACACTGGGGGCGGGTGAAATCTTCCTCTTCTTTCGTGTGGAGTTGAATGCAATGACGTCACATGTCGTTATCGAGTGACGTCCGTTCAGGAGTGGGGAAACTCGTACTCTCGATAGTTGGAATTGATATTGTATCTTGCTGTTTTTATAGTTTTTAATGCGTATTTTTCCACGGTTGGCAACAAGCTCGTAAACTNCCCCCCCCCCATGAAATATATTGCGTTATTTAATCATTGGTTTTGTTTATTAGTTGATTTAGGAATCGTAATTATTTTTTAAACTTGTTTTTCTTGTCTAAACTTGCAAATTTTTTTATTCTTTTAAATTTTATTTTTCTACAATTTTTTTCCTTTTTAGATTTAGGAGTGCTTTTCTTTTTTCTCTTACTTTAAAATGTGTTTACATTTTTTCCTTGTAATTTGGGTTTGATAAAACATCGATTAACGACACTTTTTTGTCGATCCAGGAAACCGGGAAATTAAGACATCCGGGATAGCGATGGTCCCGAGCATCCCGGATAATTGGTTCTTTATTGTACAGACATTAGTATTGAATTGGTTTTTTAAAATAAAATACTTATTCAATTTGTTTATTTTTTAAAAGTTTTTGTGTATTTTTATTACAGTGTCGGGTTTTTGAATAATGTTTTATTAAGGAAATGGTATTTATTTAAAGAGTATCTACCTAATATAGTTTTGTGTTGCTAAATCTGTGTTTAATTATTTTATTTCCATTTAATATTTTTAAACAATTATTGCTCTATTAGTGTGTAAAATTTCTTGCATTCTTATATTTAATAAATTTTTTACTTAAAATTCCTTAGAAGTGCCAAATGTTGCATACCATGCACCTTTTTTTACCCCTCCTGAAGTCTCCTGAATTCTTGTTAGGGAAACTCCTGAATGTTAATTTTGCTAGGTTGGCACGTCTGTAGAATTAATAATCCCGTGGCAGAATCGCGATGACATAGTGACATTGTTGCAGAACATTAGAGTTCTTGCAGAAAGATTTTTCTCTTAGGAAGTAGAAAAATATTTATTTTTTCTACAAAAAGTTTTGAAGATTTTTCTGCTCTCCTGAATTATATTAATAAGATGCCTTACACTCGCATTGGAAGAGAAAGAAATGCTGGTTATTTTTCAATTCTCATTTGAGAATTGTGAAAAATAAAGAATTAACGAAGTAAAAAATTTTAGTCTTTTTCTGCAGATATTTTTGAGATTCTTTTTCCCACCACAGAATTAGTTTAAATCGATGCATTTGATGCATTTCTCGTTCACTCGAAGAGAAAAAAAATGCTCCTGATTTTTTATATTCTTATTTGAGAATAAAAAAAATCAATAATGACTATTTTCAGTTAGAATTCCAGTTAGATAATAGAAAGTAAATCCAAAATCATGAAAGTTTAAAAGAAACTTAACTCTTGAAATATTGTTCTTCCTTTCATTTATTTTTTAAAGAACACTATATTTTAAATTTTAATAAAATTTGACTGTGAGTGGGAATTTGTTGCAAATTCAGATTTGTAGCAAAATAATTAAGCAATCCATGCATTATGTTTTCCCACTTTTCTTTTAAATTTGGTTGAAATTAAATCTATCTAATATTTTTATATAATACGCACATTAAAATTTTCATTTGAGACTTCACTCTATTGCTCATGCCAATTCCATCGTAAATATATGCAGTGTAGGATCACTTTTTTCCACATTTATAAATACGAATTTTTACTTGTTTTGTTTTTAATCCAGATGTCTTTCTTTGCTCAGCCAGTCCAGAATAGGACAAATAACCAATTTCAGAAATCTCTCTTTGACCCGCCCAGTTTGGGCTGATATCCTCTTTTATCCATTTGGTGTTTCAATCATTCTTTCGGCAGTTATTTATATGATTTTTGCATTCTTAAAAGAAAAAAAATCTTGATGTTTGTTTTATACAATTGAATAAAACTAATATAATTTATTTGTTTATTTACTATCTATGTAAGAATTTAATTGTTTTTTCAACTTTTCTGCTTCATTTTTTCGATTTTTTACTGCTCATGCTACTGATTTCCTCGGAGTCTTTAAAATGTCGGTTATTTCAGAGTTGATATTATTTCTATACGTGCAATTTAAATCACCCATTTAAAAAATCACTTTTGATATGCTAAATTTATGTGGATAGCGTCATTAATCTGTAGTGTTTGGATTGTATTTTCGGCAGTTATTGATATTGATTTACATGTTTTCAAATATCCCAATATATTTCTGACAATATAGGAAGTTTGAATCCCGCATTTGATTATTTAGTTTTTAATGAAATGATTTTATCAATTTTATATTAATTGCTATTGATTTCCACATAGTTTTTAAAATTCGATATTTTTAATACGATCCTATTTATTACAACAACTGAATCTCAAAGCAGAACACACATTTAGTTCTCGTTTTTAAAGAGTCAGATTCATGTAGCTTTGCCGTCAATCTCTTTTTGGTTAATAATTACTGCTGTAGATTTCATGATTTTTAATTATTTTTTTAATGTGATGATGATTAACAAAATGCCAGAATATCGCCCATAATTTTAGAATAAAAATATATTACATATTCAATTAAAAAAAATTAGATTCAATTTTATTTTATCCAAATCGGTATTTATTATTTAAAATTTTTTGTTGTAAACATGCTTCTATTACCTTAAATTAGTAACATGCATATTTGTTATTATTAAAAGTATCTTTCAGGAGGGATATTTGTTCTAGAGAGGTTAGTTGTAGAAAGCCCCCCAAAAAATTTGCTACAGTGTTAATAATAATTATAATTGTAAATAATTGTATTGTAAATTAATCATAATTGTAAAATTCAATAAATGATTAACATTAAATAAAGTTTTGAGTTGTTTGAATTTAAAGAAAAATTTCCTTGCCAAAAAACCTTTTTATTAAAATATTATATAGGAAAATAATATATTTTTAAATTTTATAAAATAATAAAGTTTTTATTTTGAGAATATTTTATTTAGAAAATGCAAAAATTTGCAAAAACAATATTTTCTTTTTTCTTTTTTTGCTGAATAAATATGTTGTTTATGAAAATATTGTGGCTCTCAATAAAAAGAGTAGAAAGTAAAACATTTGTTTTACTTTACACTTTGAGAATTTTATTTTTAATTTCAGCAATTACTTAGCAATTTAATTTTTAATTATTGTTCTTAAAATTTATATTGGTTAATAGTATAAAATGTATATATGCATAATTTTTTTAAAAAATATATGAATGTAGAAAGTAGATATTTTTTGATTTAAATTAATATTCTTGAAAATTAGTTAATTTACTTTAGAGTGAATTTTTTATTTTCCAACACTCCTCTTTTTTCCTACTTTTTTCTTTACCATAAAACTAACCATAATTGGTTAGATATCAAAATATGATTAAATTCTATACACTGTTAATAAATTTTATGAATAAATACATTATTTTTAATGCACTATATATTTAAAAAATAACCACTCTGCAGATTTGTTATTATACACATTGCAAAATTTATAAAAAAATGATGAAATAAAAATCATTATATTAAAATATTTTCTGAAAATGTTGAAAAAAAACTGATGTAATTGTTTTTATTCAGGCTGAAACATGTGAATTTTATAACCTGAATCAAAATTTATGGCATAACTTGTTTATAGTGGTGAATTTCTTAATAAATAAATAGAAATTCTGCAAAATAACAACAGATGCTTATAAAATAGACAATTCAATGTTACTTACTGTTGAATGCATTAAGCCAAATTGGTTTTTGTTCCAATTGTACTAGATGCCATTTTGCACCAAATCATTATTACTAATGTTTTATTTGAACAGAATATTATTATTATTTGAATAAATGTGTATTTATTTCTGTTAAAAAAGTTACTTTTTGAGAAACTAAAAATTAACTAAATAGTCCATTACCTTATGCTTGCGGGCTGGTACAGCGTATGGACTAGAATGACTGACATCATTCAAGGATAATAAGCAAGGGATTGCTCATTGTTTTCAAATTGTTTCTTAAACTGCTTGTTAAAATTGTTTTTTTTATTAAAAATTGTTCTTAAAATTGATTATTGTTTCTTATTGTTAAAATCTGCTGTTAAATAGTTTATAAAAAATTGTTAATAAATTGCAAACAAAGTTATGAATTTCAAAAAAAAAAAAAAAAATGCAACAATAGCTTATTTTAAAAGTTAAATGTTAAAAAATTGTTTCCTAGTTACGAAAATTCTTTCATTACTTATTCAGCAAAAACTGATAGGAAAGTAAGTGAAGCCAATAGACACTTGTCAATACTTCTGACTGAGATGATATCAAATTTATGACAGGCAGCGTTAATCTAACCATTAGTAAATAAAAAAAGAATTGCTGGCCCAATGGGAAACCAGCAGATATAGGTAATATTGGCAATAAGCTGCAAATTTTTATGCTTACTTTGCTATTAGTTTTGACTGAACAGAGAAATTTTCAAATTATGAAATTAATCTTCTCAAAATTATGAAGCATTGTTTTCTAATCTTTAAATTTTTTACTGAATTTGTTATTTTAGGAACCCAACTTCAGTATTTTGACTCAATAAAAATCCAGATTAAAATGTGAAAAATATATAAAATTAAATTGCCTTGAATTTTAAATAAACATTTTTCAAAATAATGCATCATATTTTTAAAAATAATTTTGTTACAAAATGTTTTGTCAAAATGTGAGTTTTTTTAATCTGATAAGAAAGTAACATATTATCATGGGCTGACACCCTAAATTGTTTGCTTTTATTCTGGTTTAGGTGATAAACTGGGACGTGTTGTACATATTATTCAATTCAGGGAGCCATCTTTGCGAGATTCCAATCCTGATGAAATAGAGATTGATTTTGAGACATTAAAACCATCAACGTTAAGAGAATTAGAAAGTTATGTTGCATCATGTCTAAAGAAAAAGCCACGTAAGCCTTATGGTAATAAGATAGCTTTGAAAGTGATTTTTATTTTTTTTAAACTTTATTTTCCTGATTAGCTTTGATTTTTAAATTTTCATATTGCTTATTATTTTTTCTTCAGAAGAATATTATTATTTGGCATTTTTTTTCTAATTTACAGTCTAGAATTATTACATTTGTTATTCTAATGACATTTTAATTTTTGTTGAAGTTATATTTTTAGCTTTTAAATTTTTTTTAAAATTTTTTTGTTTAAAATTGAAATAATTTTTATGTTGCTTACATTTATGTTAAAAGATAAATGTATGTTATTTACCTTTGTATTATTAATGCTATATTTTGGAGGCATGTGATTCTTCCTTTAATTTGCGGAATTAGAGGCCATTGATTCGAGGATTTCTGTGAATAAATAATTTATATTCCAAGAAAGTTCTCTTGGAATTTCACTTATCTAAAAATAAAATTTAGTTACTTAGGCTAATTCTCGTTAATGAGACATTTATTCTGCCCTTACCAGCACCCTCTTTTTTTTATTTCTAAGTTCTCATTTACGCATGATAACTTTTTTACCAGATTTGTTAGAGAAAAAGTCAATTTTGGATAAGTTTCTGGAACACTTGAATGGGAAAATTTTTTCTGTAGTAACATCAGTTGGAATTAATGAACAACAGACCCAAACGCATAAGTATAAAATTGATAATCCAAAATTTAATTTGGAAATGACAAACATTTAAAAGATCGTTATTTATTTTAATAAGTAGCAATTTTTTTGCAATTTTAAGTCTAATTTACAACCGAGGAGTTATTTAATCTATGTGATAGATTTGTCCCAATTTTTTGTTTGACTACAATTAGATTGATTTAATTTTTATGATATTAGAACATGGGAATTTGGAATTCCTCTTAGCAGTAATAACTTTTTAACACACTCGATACCACCGTGTTTTGATTTTTACTTTTACGGTTAATGCATTTGTTTTTCTCACGGTTTTCAAAATTCCGATTTTATTACGACACCTTAAATTTGAATTTGCATTTGAGTAATATGTTTTTTTGCACTCGATTTGCATCGATACCATCATAAATCTGTGTGGTGATTTGATTGTTATATTGACTGTTATTGTCAAAAATGTCTCAGTGTTTTCTTTAATCCCTATATTTTTATACATTATTATTATGACACGCAAAATTCAATTTGTGCATTTATTAATACTTTTTGATGTGACGATACTGCCGTGTTTTCGATTGACTTTTTCACAGTTGTCGTTTTTGTTATTCATGTGGTTTTTTTAAATTCTGCAATTTTCATATAATATTATTAAGAAACAGGAAATTCGAATCACATATGCAGTATTACTTTTTGGCTCACTTGATTTGCGGTGAGTCCATGTATGTTTCGATTGGTTTATTTTAATTATGACAGTTATTGCTGTTGATTTTCTCATGATTTTTTTAAATCTGTATATTATTAAGATATAAGAAATTCGTATCTCATAGCTGAGTATTCACTATTTAATGCTATAATTTTATCGTTATTTTTTTCAATCAATTTTTCAACAGTTATCATTAAGTTTCACCTATTTTTTTAAAAAAAAATCTCGATATTCTTAAAACAAAATTATTTATCACAAAATGTGAATCTAGAAACGTACATCCAATAAACTTCTTTCTGGCATGTCCAATTCGTGTGATTTTGAAATAAATATATTTGGTTTTGTCAACGATATTTTTTCAAGTTAATTACAGTAGATATCGCAGTTTTTTAAATTTTATTATTTATTTTTTTATGTGATGACGACTCACAAAGTGAGAAAAAGGAGAAATATGTAATTTTTTTAAATGTATATATCCTTTTATGTGTTAATAAGGAAAAAAATTATTAAATAAACTTTTTCTTTTAAATAAAATTTGTTTCAATTTTTTAAATGTTACTTTTTTCGTTAATAGGTCAATCTTCTAATTCTCTTCTATGTACAAGAAAAAATAAATAATAATAATAATGAAGTATTAAGCAAAAATGCACATTGAGGAAAAATGTATTAGCTAATTTCTTTTTCCACCAATCACATGTCTGATTTTATATGTTATATTATTAGGAAGAAATAAAGGAAGTGCGAAAACTAAAGATATTGATGTAAAAGAAAAAAAGATTGAACTTGAAAAAAGATTGCAAGACTGTAGTGGACAACTTCATTCCAACACTAGTAAAAAAAGTAGTCGTAAAGGTATTAATTTTTTTCTTTGTATATAAACTAATATAGGCTTGTTATATATGTAGGTCATAAACTGTTTGGTAAAAATGTGGCCTCTATCTAAAATTTCATCTATCCTTCCTCTTATGTATAATTTTCATTGTTTGTATTGTGAACTTTTTATTTTTCTTCCTGAAATGTTAATCATTTGTGTAGAATAAAATACAAGTTTATAATGCATTCATGTTGCAAACAAAAACTATCTCACAGAAAAATGTATAAACTCATGCACATATAATTAGACATAATTTCTGAAAATCAAAATGTGAGATCCTTTCATGTTCCAATTGTAGAGAGTTTTCTCGTTTCTATTCCTTTTCGTTTCTTTTTTTTTTATTTCTCGGAAGAACTCAGTTCTAGAATGCTTCTGAAGTATAGCGTCTTCCAACTACTTTAAAAACTGCAACAAAAGGAAAAATCAGTTATTCCTCTCATTAGAGCAATTACAGAATAGCTTTTAACTTTTTAGTTGACACAAAAGAAAAAAAATCTGTAGCCATTGCTTTAAAGAAGAAAAATTTGGCATGAGTGATAGCTGAAAAATTTGACTGCAATCAATTTGCAGTCCTGAAGGGGATTGATTAAATTGGAGCATAAAGCAGGTGATCTTATGAGAAGGGTTATATCAAGCCATAAGAGAGTTGCTTCAACCTACGAGTATCGTTTTATCTGACAACTTTATTATATTAAATTAAGACCTGTAATCTTTTAACAAATAATATACTCATTAGAAACAATATTTCATCCCTTTTTTGTATTTAATGCATTTTATTTTGTTCGCCACTTAATGTAAGAAGGGTTTTTTAGAAGGTTTTTAGAAAAAAAAACATCATTAATACTTTTTTTTTCATTTGCAGATTCTGAAGGTTCAATTGATGTAGTTGGAAGTGGAGGTGCTGCTACACGTTTAAGTGCTAGCAGTAGTAGTACTAGTGATAGTGATAGCAGCAGCAGTAGTAGTTCAAGTAGTTCATCTGACAGCAGTGATTCTGAAAATGGTAAATACATTCAAACATGTATATAAAAGTGTTAATATATTTTTATATATAAAAAATTATATTTAAAAAAGCAATTTTAATATATCTGTTTTATTTTTAAATAAGTATCAGTCAAATATTTCCACTATAAATACCTCCACATCTGTTTCCCAAAATAATTTTTACTGACACTTAAATAAATATTACCTGATTGAAAACTTCATTCGTTTCAAAAATATTCAAATTTATAATTTTGAAGCAAATGAAGTTTTCAATTAGGTAATCAGGGGTCTGTCCAAGCAAAATTCACTACCGTTTAGCGGTACCTTCACAAATTCAACTTAAGGATAAATACTTTTTCTTAAATTTTTTTTTTTGTCTCATAAGAAACGATAAATCCATATTTTTGTGTTGATTTTTTAATATAATTTTTAATTTCACAAATTATGTCTAAATTTTCACAAAATAGTCCCCCTCTCAAGAAAACCTAGACAAATACTGCTTCTCTTTTTTGGAATTATTAATTTAATACTTACATTGTAGTAATTTTAGTCCCATTATTTTTATATTTGCTAAAATACTTGAATTGTCTATTGCTAAATTTTTGCTTTATGTTTTCGAAAAGAAAAATATTTTATTTTTGCAAAGGAATTCACTTTTATCTTTGTTCTGAGCTGTTCTATCTGTTTACTTTTCTGTTGGAGAATTCCAACTATTCATTCTGTTGTTCATACTTGATCACAATGTAAGTCCTATACAGTAGAAATATAACTTTTCAACAAGATAAACTGAAGCCTTAGTTATTAAAGGTGCCATAAAATGTTCCTAGAGTGCATTAACATATCTAACATCTTTATCATAGTTGCATCCTTTACAAGTCATGATTTAACCCAGCGTTAGTATTAGCATTTTGTAAACTCTTAGTTGCTGCATTTTCTGCTTCAAGAAAAATCTGTTTTCCCCTATTCTTTAATGGGAAAGTAATTTAAGCAGGGAATTTTCAAAATAATGATTTTGTCCAAAGACTTCCAATGCTTAAAGGTTTAAAACCCGACCATGTAAAGTTTTAATTTAAATGGCATTCCTGAAATGATAACATTACAAAACATTATAATATTTTTTAAACAATTCCGTCTAAATTTTAACCAATTTGAGTGTGTTGAATTCTGTAGAAATTCTGTATATTAGTGGAACTTTTATGTTTAATCTGAAAAAGACAATCCCTCTTTCCACATGTGCTATTAGAACTTCACACACAAGCACATACATCTTGGATTTCATAAATTTGTTAACGCATTTATATATATATATATCTATAT